TCGTCGAATTCGTCCTTGCTTCCTTCCGATCCGAGCAGTAGAATAATTTCCTGCTAAGGTATAGTTCGATCCCTCGTCCCGTTCATGTATCGAAAGACTGGATCACCATAAATAATTCAAGGCGCAGGTCTTCTTTAAGCGTCGCCTGTGAAACTGAGAGTGAAGAGTCAAAACATCAGGCAGGAACGCGAGAAATCATGTCACCACGGAAGTGGTCGAGGCCAGAAGGGAGATGGAGAAAGAAAGAGAGAGCTCGATAGTTATATTCCGATTCAGCGAGGTCTCGAAAGTGGACCGTTGTGCGGGTTATGGTTCTCTTGGTCTCCGACCGAGCTACACACAGGAGGGTTGGCATCCCTTGCAACGACACCAGCTAGATCGAAACAGGGTTCCTTTCTCCTTTCGTCTCCCGAGAAGGGAAGCGAGGTTGCTCTTCGGTCCGGGTCCGAGCTTCTTTGATTTCACCTTGCAACGCACGTTGCCTGACATTGATTTTCCTTTCCCTCTTGCTACTCGTTCTTTCTCCTTTGCTTCCTACTTGCCCCCCTCTGATGTCTCTCGACGAGTAGATCTTCAGTGGATATGTCGAGTACAAAAAGGATGGACTGTGATTATTTGACATATATATTATATGATAATGTACTCTTAGAGTAATTAAAAAGTATCAATATTGAATTTTATATTTTCTGTCTGTGTCACATTAATGATTATTCCGAATTCTCCTACACTTTGATGGATGATATCAAAGTTAGAAAAAATACGTAAATTAAGAAAATGATAGTGTTCAAAATATCAGCAACTTGTTGCGACGGATGTCGTATTTCTTTCGGAGTTTCCTAATGTCTATTTCTTTGTTCCATCCTCGGTTTGGTTCAAACGATGGTAAAAGGTTGCCGCCCGGTCGGCGACGATCAATTTGGCGCCATCGTATCGAACGAAGTGTGTCAAGGACTAGCCTAGCCCAATCCACGCTGCTACCATCTACCGAATTTCTTCTTCTCTTCCTCGCGTTCGATGAAGAACATCGCGTGGAAGAATGTAAGATGATGCTTCGTTTATCACGCGTTTCTCATTCGAGATGCCTACATTTCCCACGAGACCAGAAGATGCGACGAAGACTTTCTTTTTCACGGTCACGCACATGCATGTGCTCGCGAAGAGCGTTTTTTTATTCTGACTTTCCGGAGAGTTATGTGATTGACGCATGAATCTTGATTCTATAGATGAAACTACCCACGTATGCATACATCTACACAGACATGTAGTAGTAACGCGTTGTAGTTGGTCACGTGTCTTCGATGTCGCGGCGGGAAACAAGTATTTTGAAGATTTGCCAAAAGAATCTTTTTCTTTGACGAGCAGCAGCTCATGAATCCCATATAAACGTAACGGACGTTAAATAATCGTAACGTTTGATTTCAAGAAATGAGAAACCCGTTTTTGAGATAAGAATATGCCCTGCATCTCAGAAGTTTACGAAGATTTTTTATTTCACGTCCAACGGTTATGTCAAAGATTATTATTCAATCCCTTGGGCATCAAATTGGTCTGAATAAATCTTCGGATGGATCTGAGTTTATTCATCAATGATAAAGAACTCGTTAAATACTTTGAAGTCAACAAGCACCTTAATTTGCTGAATACTGTACTCTACAGACATATCATTGAAGGAAATAATTGGAATGCCAATCTCTTAATATATTGTATTTTATTGTTGATCTTGGTTAAAAAAATGTAGTAATACCTTCACTTACCCTAGGTCGAAAAATTCTGCCTTTAAGATTGTTGGTACTTAACGGGGGTGGCAGCTGGTTTATAGGAAGTCGGTGTGGCGCGGGTTGTGGTAGGGCTGTGTCGAGGCTTTCTTTCTGTTTTGTTCGTGCCTTCGATCCATTCAAGTCGAAAAGGGAGAAAAAGGGTCAGAACGAGGGCGAATGGAGTGGGTTGGAACTTGAGGATCGCTACGTCAACCAAACCATTCCATTTTCCCCTCTTCGCAGCTCGCGAAAGAATCCAGAGATGTTGCGGGCTTTCCAGGCCCTTCGGGCACGCGCCAACGATCGAAGGTCGTGTTTTCCGTCGAACGTGTCAGGGTTTCTGCGTTTCGAGGAATCGACGGGAACTCTGCTGAGCTCGTATTAAGTAATGGTTCAGCTCATGTTTGTAATTCAATTCAAGTGACGTGGGCCTAAAGCGGGATCAGAGATTAAAAGAGATCTTGAGATTGGACGCCATTCGATGATAAGGTGATTTCAATTGTAAGTCGGATTTCGAAACGATTCGCCATGCTGCTCAAAAATCGACAGAAAAAGTGGGGAAGATTTTATTACGATTAAAGATTCATTTATATTATCGACGAGCCATGAACGAGTCGACCAGCATGGAGGTACCATCGAAACATGATTTAATTATATTTTATCCTTATTTCTGATTATTTGCTAGTGTGTGTAACTGATTTTTCAATAGTGTGAACGTCGTACGAGGACTGAACGAGCTGTTAGAAAATTCGTTCCCAACTAATCAAACACGGGACTTATATGAGCACAGGCAGCGTATTTATAATTAATAATCAGAGTCAATGACAAAACGTCATGAATCCTCATTCATGGTTCGTTAGTACTGCTGATAGTGTAAAACCTTAACTCGATTAACCATCGATGAAGTGAAACGCGCATGTTACATGTATGAAGTAAGCATATGGCATTTTATAAAGAAAGGAAGCATGCAGTTGACTAACTCAAAGAGTACGTAATCATAATTAATACACGACTTCGATTATGAGTAGATTATTAACATGCACCGTATCGGAACTTTGTACATCGCCGCGTTACCGCTCGTATTATTATTCTGCAAGCACGTGTCAGGGTCACCTTCCGCGAATTTTGCTTCACACACACACGTGTGGGCAAGCTTCACGCTCAAAATAATTTTTCCCGAAAATTACAGCATCGGGAGGAGAAAAAAAAGACGTTCTTCTGCATTCTTTTCTCTTTGCATGTCTCACCGTTCCATGTGCAATCCGCTATCTTTATCTATCTTTCAAGCGGTGACCTTCGAATTGGTTTCAGCCTAATCTTATTTTGCATATCATTGACAGTATTTCTTTAAAACATTTTTTACCTAATCATCCACATTTGTATTCGTAAATGTCTTATGTTTCTTATAAATAAGAATGAATGCTTTGTTTTATTTATCGAAAGAAAGCATGAAGTAAGATTATGAATTTCTAAATATGCTGCGCAAATTGGCAATTCTTTTAGGACAGGTCTATCGTTGCTAGGTAAATTATTTACCGTTCAGAACTGTACACAACTATTGTCTTATCTTATTATTTTATTTGTACATATACTGTTTGATACTACTTCGTGTCTTCTTCGTTTGTTCACTATGGTGCAAGCAGGTGTTCTTCAAATAGGTGTAATTCTTGAAAATGCTATTACAAGTAGATTCTATAGATCAACACATAGGATTATGTATATTGGCATCAAGATCGATCGATTGATATATCAATCTGATGTTCTAATCAACAATTCGACGAATTTCTCCGATTGCCACACAATCATCTAACAATTTTATGTAACGTGCGATTCGACGAAATTTTATATAACCCGTTACACACTTCGCACATAACGGAGACGATGTTGCGTCCCAAACACTTTCTAAGCGTGTTTCTATGCTTTTGATTGGACGTATAGAATCCTCTTTGGTCAACTCTCTAGACACCAGAAAAAGAAAAGGGGCGTGAAAATACTGTTTTGAAATCGAAACACGAGATATCTGTCAACTGCAAGCCACACTTATCCTATTGGTAACTCCAGTTCTTGGCAAAGTTAATCGGTCGTTTGAGGAGGAACACAACGGGAGGTCCTGGACGGCCGTAGTTTGGCCATAGCTCCATTCCAATAGATTATAGATACACATGAGAAGGGAAGAGAGAGAGAAACAAGGGATCGAGCCGAGGCAGGGTGATGTCCCGTAATAATCGTGGATACACGCGAAATTTGAAAATTTCCAGACAAAGCAGATGGCGTAGCCTTTCGCGGAAGCGATCCTCATCCCGGTTGTTAAACGCTACCACCGGCGCGACGTTCTGCATGTTTCAAAGGACTACATAACCCGCGGGCACATCCTCTTTTACCTGCTTTCTTTTTTCTTCTCCCAAAGCCTTCCGTTGCTCTCTTATTTTTGTCCTGTTTAATTCATCATTGCCTTTACCTTTCGTTCTAACCAATTTTCTCTAATTGCATACTTTATTGTTGCCTCACTTCCCTTTCTTTCAACTCGGCAATCTTCTCTTGGAATGCAACTGCATTTAACGAGCATTTTTATTAATTTTTATGGCTCGTACTTTTTATCGTCTTCTGCTTATTCATTCTTCTCACCAGCTGAATTCAAATGACGCGAACATCCTCTCGCCAGTTGTTAATTTCCATTGATAAAAATCAAGGACGAAGTTTTCAAAGTACTCATTCAGTTGCTCTAATAAATCTAAACGTTACAATTAGTCTGTCACGTTTAAAACAGTCTGAACGTCCTATTTATTACGTCTATTAAAATTCTTATTTTATTTCGCCTAGTGTAGACGTCGTTTGGCTGCGCAAATCCTGCATACTCATACGTGGCCGATGTTGTCTAGGTCTGTAGCCGGCCTAGACGTAAACACGTTCACCACGCGCGACTTCATAATTTACTTAACACTTAATTTTCTGCAAATGGAAGAAAGTAGAATATAATTCATTCATCAGCGTAACCGGGATCCCGTTTGTTGAATGGTTGCGTCACAAAGTAAACGGGATGCGGGGCATATGGCATAATCGCGTACAAACTTAGAGGCGAAATAAATTGCACAAATATGTACACGCGCGAACCTCGTCACATGCCAATCTTGAAACGTGTAAATATATGCGTGCAAGCTTTAGTTGAGTGTTTACGTTAAACATCGGGAATACATACAACGTACTTGTGATAATAACAATTCGGATCTCGGCTCTCTGTTTCAGGCAAGAAACTGAAGTGTCCACTTTGTGATAGACTGTACGGCTACGAGACGAATCTGCGCGCCCATATAAAGCAACGTCACCAGGGTATCAGGGTGTCGTGTCCATTCTGTACGCGAACGTTTACCAGGAACAACACCGTCAGACGGCACATGGCGCGGGAGCACAAAGCCGAGCTCAATCTGAAGGCTTTCCAACAGTCGAATCATTCGATGTCGGACACCGTGCCGCAGTAACGACGTCCTTGTCGTCATCGTCGTTATCATCGTCGTTGTTGTCGTTGTCCTGACGGTGATCGTCGCAGAGACGCGGAACGGACGGCTCTGCGACGAGTTAATTGCGAGTGGGACGGAAATGGCAGGACCACGTAGTTGGATCGAGGAAGAGTATCTTCACTTTTGGTCAACGCCGCTCTCATCCCCTCAGGACCCAGCGTATCCTTTGCGAAGTCGGCTGTGATTGACAACGGACGTAACGGAACTTTGGTCGCCAGATCAAGAAATTTGAACGCCCGCAATCCACTATGCTTCGATTCTGATAGTTGTCAATTAAACTGTCTCGAAAAGGTCTGCCTGGAATTCTACTGAAACGATTCGTCGACCGAAATGGTCGGAATATAATCGTGGAATATGGAGCATGGGAAAAACGGGAATATAGACAGGATACTCGTGGGTATTCTTTAAATTTGAATTCAGTGTCCCGTATTTTCGAGATTCGCAAAGGATGAATATTGCACGGTCTTAAAAGAGGCGCAAGGCGTTGATCGTAATAGAAAAATTGTCTCAGTGATCGGATCGCGAAACGAGAACGAGGAAGATTGTTGTAAAGGAGGAATAGTAAAGTAAAAATGGATACAGAAGAAGAAAGAAGGAAGAAGACAGAAGAATGAAGAGGATTGGGAAAACGTCGACGTCCGATGGCTCGCGTGGCTAAGCACGGAGATAGGGGACACGCTCGCAGAATAATCACAAAACTAGTCAATGAAAGTGCAACGTCAAGTAAGAGTTATTAACTATTAAAGAAAACGCTTTTTACTGGATTGCGATACAAACTAGGGAAACTATAGAGACAAGCGTAACGCCGGAAGATCCGAACCGTAAGTAAAAAGACGCGAATGAAATTAAAACACACAGATTTACGACGCCACAAAGAAGCGAATAGGATTAATGGAATGAAAAGAAGAGACGCATATCTCAGGTGAATCCATATTGCCATAAGCGGGATACTTCACGATATTTTTATTTCTCGTCCTTTTGCTCTTCGTTCTTTTTTTAAATCTTCCGTATGTTCGACGTCTCCATTTAAAGCGATCTGGATTGCTTTGACTGGGTGCGCGAATTAAAAGATTTATATATATAGTAGAAATATGTATATGAATATAGACCGAGAATATTGATGAAAACGGTGCAAGCGCTGTTGCGAAATAGGTTTTAATGAACCAAGTCGTCTAATTACTGCCGCTATCTTACTTGATTCGATAGTTACGAACATGTTACCGATGAATTTATTGATTAACTGCAATTACATCAGATTGAAGTTACGTATGTATGTTACATACACCGATTTAACCACAGAGAAGCAACACTGGTACTATTATTGCTGTTGATGTCAAGAGCCTAGGGTCGAGACACGGGTGATATACAAACTGTTTAACAATCTCCATAGTAACAAACTTGTAGGGAAATTGTCGGAATCTATTTATTGCAATAGATAATGAAATCTCCGTTATTTTTACACGTTCACAAATCGTGGAAACATATCCGGAATGTAATGTGATACGTTTTACGTACGCACCAATTTCGCCTCTATCTTTTCTGTTCTTTTTGTATAGATATACCGTTTTATAAAAGATTTATGAGATTATTACTACAATTACATATAGAACGCGGACAGGCTGTCGAGTTACCACGTATAGATTATACCGTAAGTCGTGTTTAGATTCTTCTCGGTGAATGCGTTCAAGCCACAGTTCATAACGCGAGAGAGAATAAGCAATAATGATTGTTCAAGATCTCTTCTTTCGTAAGGGCGTCGTTTTCTTTTTGTAACGTCTCAGGAACAAACGCCAGGTGACTCCTGTTCCTCCTGATCGTGGACAGAAGTCTCATGGCGCGGAAGAGGAAAACAAGACATACATGTTGTACGAGATCCGATTTTTTAACGAGTACCTATATATTTATTGTATACCTGATCGTGAAGGGAGAAGCTTCGCATTCGCTTGGAAAGATCGCGATACGACGCGGACGCGACACATTTTTTGAACGTCGCGCGAACAATCACTACCACTTTGTTACCTGTTTACAATGTTTAAATGACGGACTTTTGTCCGAAGCAATAGTCGCGGATAATATAATAGGGATATATTAAAGTAATACGGAACCAATAGACCAGTACGGACAGGAGAGCATTATAAGGAATAATTTACTAGACTACCGGTTGTATAGGAATGTGATCAATGCAATAGTTCATTATATTACAATTTGTACCTATAGATAGATATATAGATACTCCTAGTCAGGATGGCACCACGATATTACTTGTTGCAGTATTTGACGCGTTTATATTACGGACATCTACCTCTCTCTTTATTTTCCTCACCTACCTCCTCCATACGTTCCCAGTTGTTATTTCTTGTTACCGTCCGGCCTCTGTTTTCTCTCTCATGTATTATTATTTTTTTATTCTCTCCTCCCATCTATCCTACCGCCTTTTTTATTTTTTTATTTGTTTGTTACGTTACAGAGAAAAGTTTAACGAGAGTTGTCTCACAACGATACGCCTACCGTAAGATATCAAAGACAATAGTTGATAGAGGATTATTTAGTATTTAACAAAAAACGTTCATACCGTGAGATGTAGGATATATTTAACGAGAGGAAAATAATTTGTTCCTGCCCGTTTTCGTTGTCTCGTTCTTTCCCAGCCTCATCTTCTTTGTTCACGTTACATGTGTTCTAATTTTCTTTCTCTTCCTTTCCTTTTAAATCTCATTTTTTACACGAATACCAAATCGTGGACAAACGTAGTCCGCGTATTCTGCCAAATGACGATACGTATGACAGTACTACCTCATCGTCTTTTTATAAGAACGCATAATACAAAATACAGGGAACACTGAGAGATCACGATACATTATACGTAATGACCACCTGTACATTCCGTATAGCCGCTGCTATTCATCTGGTTAGTGTCGGAATATTATTCTCCTGATGTTATACCCTGATTTCGAACAGGGTACAATCGTGGATCTCGAAGCTCCTAGCGGAAATTTCTTCGTCTCCCATTGCTTCGTAACACTTCTTTTTCCTTGTGCCAGGATCTTAATTATATGAAAGTGTCAGCAAATTAATGAAACATAAAATTCGATTATTGTTGGTCTACAACGTACATTTTCATATGATGATCCCAGTTAAGGAAACTAATGTAATATACATTTTCATCCAAGCAACAATTTCAATAACGAGTTTGACACAAGGGTAAGAGTACGATTGTTCACAAGAATGGAATAGAGTTATTATACTAACAGGTTTTATAAATATCTTTTCATATTCAAGAAGTTTTCAGTTTTGCTTTCACATTGATTATGGAATTTCTAATTGCGCTAGGAGCTTCGGAGATTGCGAGCACACGTGATATAATAAGCTCTACGTATGATTATAATAATGGATCAGTTTTTTTTTACAAAGCCGCATTATCGGATACGTACAATTATACATATACGAGCACTATGTAAACACATTGAATGTGAGTACGCGTGTGTGCGTGCATGTTTGCGTGAGAGGGTGTGCCAGGCTGCGTGACAATTTACAAAAATGTTTACCGTTTTCCAAGGTAAAAAGAAAAAAAAAGAAAAACGAAAAAAAAAGTTATGGCAGTGATTTCATCGTTCGGCGGAAACATTTGATTCATGGATGCAATCACTATGTTCTGACGTAAGGAGAGGTTGAAATTAGATCTAAACAAACGTATTGTACATTATAATATTGTCCGTTTAACGCACAAAAGTAACAGAAGATAAAGTATCACGACGGTGCGATGCACAGGGTGAATTGACGAAAGCGATAGTAGCATTCGAACGTAGAACATTCGCAGAGAAAGTCGAGCAAGTGCACGCGTGCTCGTTTCGTCGACGAATTTCGTGGACTCGGGCTTTCGAACATCTAGAGGATTTTTTTCGGTTGAGAGACGATCGAGGGAAAATTGAATACGAAAAATGAGATTTGGTGTACGCACAAAACGAGAATGTTTTGGCAAAGGTAAACATTGAGGGACGTTTTCGAAAAATAGAACGGCGAGAGACGTTTCGATCCGCACGCGAGGGTGATATCGATCTTCCTTCGGGACTGAATTCGACATAAACCAATTTCCCAAGGATGGGCTACGAGGATATATTTGAAATAAGGTGAAAATTAGTCACAGACGGCGGAGAAGGGTGTCTAGAAAAAAAGGAGACGCTGCGAAGAGAGGGATTATTAACAAGTGTTATGTGTCGTTTACGTATGTGAGGATAGGAACATACACACACGCGCGCACACAATACACACACGTATACGTAGTGTACGAAACAAATATATCTGCCTATACACAAACGGGATACGTCGCAAAAATTTGTATGTCTCATAAGTACTATAAATAGTGGTACAC